GAATTTGAAGCAAGATTCACATTATGTTGAAATCAACAAAGATGTTTACACAGTAACAATGTCAACTAATTTCATGACTTGAAGTTAAGATAAGAACTTAGTTGTTGACTAAAAAGAATTCCAACATTTAAATAAAATCAATTTATTACATTTAACTAGTTTGCAAATGTGAAATAACTATCATGACTGCTGCTTTTGAATACAATCCTGCTTCATTTCAAAGAATTCTTTTGCCTGCTTTTCTTCTTTGTTTTAACTTTATGGCAATACATTTTATTTTACAATTGTTGTTTCTAGAGGAATTCTTGGTTTTTCTAGTGACATCAGTCCGCACGCTTTCCTTCTTAGTTTTAACAAACAAATTATTTTACAATTGTTGTTTTAAGACGAATTCTTGAAGTTCCAGTGACATCATTAACAGGCTTTGCTTTTCTTCTCAGTTAAACAAACAAATAGTTTTCTATAATAGTAATGAAGCTTTGAGTAATAAATTTTATTGGTTAAATTGTTGCTTTCGGATGAAATCTGTCTTCCTGCGGTTCCATTCGTACTTCTTTGGTATGAGTTAGCTTCAATTTCAAGAAAAGAAAATACTTATTGAAAATATTGGTTTTATCCTTGCAAAAAAGTTTGTTAACAAAATTACTAGTTAAAGATATTTAATTCCTTTGTTAATATAAGCTTTCATTGATAATCAAGTAAGTATGGTACTTAAGTGATACTACTAGTGAATGAAATTTAATTCAACTTTACCGTTTTGAAAGAGAAATGCAGCTCTGCTTTAAGCTCTAATTCAGTTTGGAAAATTTATTTTTTTTAAAAGAAAACTCAAAAGGTAAAGTAAAAAATGGCAATCAATTGTTAAACAATTGCTTCAAACTCAAATATTTGTATGGAAAGTTAAGAAAAAGTCTTAATTGCTTTGCTATAATAAGTTGACCAATAATTCTTCTTCGTTATCATTAAATTAAATAATTAATTTAAAACTGATAATACTCAAACGTTGGCATGAAATTAAAAATTCTCACATGATGTCTCTTCTGTTTGCCTTCAAATTTACTGTGGTAAAATATATTCATGTAGCAAATCTTCATTTTTAACTAATTAACTGAAAATGTATGTCTATGAATTCTCTTCACACAAAGGTCCACTATACGACATTTATAAATCTTTTTGTAGTATTACTTTTAACTATTAAAACAAAATTGATAGTCGTGGAATAAGTATTAATACATTTACTGAGCAATTTAGTAAAAGGTGATTTTTTCGGTTTCCAGCCGATGACAATGGGATATTTTTAGTTTTCTCAAATTACACATGCCTGCAATTCCTAAAAGTTATCAGTATAACGCTATACTTGTTTTTATATACTCCAGTTTTTATTGAATAGTTAGATTTGTCTACTCAACTTTTATTAAATCTTTAGATTTGTCTACTCCATTTCCTTGAAACTTCAGATTCATCCACATTATTTGAAACTTCAGATTTATCTCATTTTCTTAAATCTTTAGATGTATTTACTTCCCTTGAATCTTCAGATTAATCTACCTACTTTTCTTGGAACTTCAGATTTGTCTACTCTATTTCCTCGAAACTTCAGATCTAATTCTCTCGAATCTTCAGATTTGTCTAATCCATTCCTTGAAACTTCAGATTTATCTTCTATCAAATCTTCGGTACTTACGTATTAAACGGAGGCCACCTAACCTACAGATTCGATTCGATTAGTAAACCTTCACCATCAGCAAGTTTGGTTGGTTAGGTTAGGTTAAGATAGTTTAATTTGATAAAACAACATATATTTATGATAACCCAACCTAACATAACCGCTGCAGCGCGCCGAAAAATATGTGGCCTCCGTATAATACGTAAGTACCAAATCTTCATATTTGTCTACTCCATTTACTTGAAACTTCATATTTATCTAATTTCTTTGAATCTTCAGTTGTATCTCAATCTCTCCAATCTTCAGATTTGTCTACTGAATTTCCTTGAAACTTCAGATTTATCTACTTTCCTTGAAACTTCAAATGTATCTATTTCTCTCGAATCTTCTGATTAATCAACTTCCTTTTCCTTTAACTTCAGATTAATCTACTCCACTTTCCTTGAAACTTCAGATTTATCTAATTTGAATTTATCTACTTTGAATCTTCAGACTTATCTTCTTCCCTTGAATCTTCAGTTTTATCTACATTCCTTGAAACTTCAAATGTATCTATTTCTCACGATCTTCTGATTAATCAACTCAATTTTCTTGAAACTTCAGATTAATCTACCCCACTTTCCTTGAAACTTCAGATCTATCTATTTCTCTTGAATCTTCAGATTTATCTTCTTCCCTTGAATCTTCAAATTTATCATCTTCCCTTGAATCTTCATATTTATCTACTTTCCTTGAAACTTCAAATGTATCTATTTCTCACGATCTGCTGATTAATCAACTCCATTTTCCTTGAATCTTCAGATTTATCTTCTTTCCTTGAATCTTCAGATTTATCTAATTTCCTTTAAACTTCAGATTTATCTATTTCTCTTGAATCTTCAGAATTATCTTCTTTCCTTGACTCTTCAGATTTATCTACTTTCCTTGAAACTTCAGATTTATCTATTCATCTTGAATCTTCAGATTTATCTTCTTTCCTTGAATCTCCAGATTTATCTATTTCTCTTGAATCTTCAGATTTTTCTTCTTTTCTTTTTCCCTTGAATCTTCAGTTCTATCTACTTCCCTAGAATCTTCATATTTATCTTAAGTGTTTTTATTTAAATCAACAGAGACTACTTTCTTTGAAACATAAGATTTGATCCATTCCACCTCCTTTGAAATGTCAGATTTTATCCAGTCTTCTTTCTTTTTATCAATCAACTCCATTTTCCTTAAACTTCAGATTAATCTACTCCACTTTCCTTGAAACTTCAGATCTATCTATTTCTCTTAATCGTTCAGATTTATCTTCTTTCCTTGAATCTTCATATTGATCTACTTTTGTTGAAACTTCAAATGTATCTACTTCTCTAAAATCTTCAAATTTGTCTTTTCCATTTCCTTGAAAATTCAGATTTGTCTGATTTTCTTGAATCTTCAGATTTATCTAATTCTCTTGAATCTTCAGATTAATCTATTCTACTTTCCTGGAATCTTCTGATTAATCAACTCCATTTTCCTTGAAGCTTCAGATCAATCTACTCCACTTTCCTTGAAGCTTCAGATCAATCCTCTTTCCTTGAAACTTCAGATTTATCTATTTCTCTTGAATCTCAAAAGATTTATCTACTTCCCTTGAATCTTCAGATTTATCTACTTTCCTTAAAACTTCAAATGTATCTACTTCTCTCGATTCTCCTAATTAATCAACTCCATTTTCCTTGAAACTTCAGATCAATCTACTTCACTTTCCTTGAAACTTCAGATTTATCTATTTATCTTGAATCTTCAGATTCATCTACTTCCCTTGAATCTTCAGTTCTATCTTCTTCCCTAGAATCTTCAGATTTAACTAAAGTGTTTTTATTTCAATCAACAGACACTACTTTCTTTGAAATATTAGGTTTTATCCACTCCACTTTCTTTAAAACGTCACATTTTACCCACTCAATGTTCTTTGATCTCCAGATTTATCTACTTCACTTGCCTTGAAACTTCAGCTTAAGTTGTATCCTGGTTCATTTATACAATCTATATCCTGACTCATTCCATCTTCCAGTTAATTAATTATGGTGCAGGTAAGTTAATTTTCTAGCTTTTTAGCAGACACAAGGAAACATTTTTTAAAATTTATTTTCCTTTTTGTAAAAAAAAATTGCAGTTTATTTTTCATCAGAGATGATAAATATTAGTTTTGTAAATTTAAGAATAGTACAAACTATTTGCTGATGATTTAAAATATGAAGTTTTAAAATTATAACTGAGTCGAGCAGTTTCAACATTTCAAATCTTGATCTTCTTTGCATTTTTATTCTATTTTGGAATATTGTTTTACATATCTTTAGATTCAGTTCTTGCGTGTGGGTGAAGACGAATAAAATCTTAGTCTTGAAGCAGTAGTATTCTGTGGTTCTGACGATAAATTGTATAAGCCAATCAATGGAAAATTGACTTTAAATTTACTATAATAATGTTAGTCTCCTTTAGATATTATGACAAAATATTCAAATTATGTTAACAAGAAATCTCAGATTGTATTCTGCTTAATGTTAAGCTGCACATTTGCGACTCCTTTTTTTTACCGTACTTTATTCTTGATAATTAAATGCAGCATTAAATATAAAAAATATTATTAGAAATTATTTTATGATACTAATGACCTTTTTTGATGCTTCAAACGCACACATTTTCCACTTGCATGGTCCTTTGAATAAACGTGGCTTGTTAATGTAAAAATTGAAGTAAACCAAAGGTTTTTGATGAAATAACTGTAAAGATAAGGTATTATAATATCTAATTGAGTGAGTCGGATGAATGTTCATAATTATGTTCTACAGCAACAGTAAATTTAACACTTTAAACTTGCATTTCAAAACAGTTTGCTGGAATAAATTACAATTTACAGCTCGAAAAATTGTGTGATCTCAAAATGTAAATAAGGGTTCAAAGGTATAAGTACTTTCAGCGGGAATCTCTGACGTCGGCAGTGGCCATCCAAAAGAGGGTGGGTTAAGTGTCTCCAACCCCAATGGACCGAGGGTCATTCAATCGCTGGTGCATATCTGGCTACTGCTCTCAGAAGAAATATTTTTTCACCCTTATGAAGTACTAATGTTTCAGATTGTATTATTTTCTTTCTTTAACTACTCAAAACAACTGTCCAACTTTTAGCCTTAAAATTGTCCCAATGCAGATAGTTCCTCGTGGTATGTTACAGACATGAAATTGGACTTTTCTTTCCACATTCTATGAAATTCAACAAAAATTCTACAATCAAAAAAAGCACAATATATTCTACTTATGAAACATTAACCCGACTCACAAAAAGATTTGGCCAAAAATAAATACAAACTTTGAGCATTGAAGCTATAAGAATCTTCTTCCTCTTCATAATTTTTCCATTTTTGAGATTCTTGATTGTTTTTCCATTTTGGTGGCTCTTGGTTATTTTTCCACTTTTGTGGCTGTGAGTAGTGATTGTTGCTATAGCCTCCTCTGACATTGAAATTTCCTCTGTTATTATAATATCCTCTAAACTTTTGTCCATCCACTCCCCCTCTCATGCCTGAAGATGTAAACATTGCTAGTTACTTAACACAAAAATTTAGTAGAAAAATAAAAAAAACTCTGCAAAACCTCCAGATGAAAAACTGCTCACACTCCTTCAGCATTTGTTTCCTGAAAATATATTAATTTTATCCTAGGAAAAAATTAGAGTCCCAAAATAAAAAAAAACCTTGAAATCGAGATAAAGAATTTAATAAACAAAAGATGAATTGTTTTAACTTTACATAAGGTTTCTTCACTTTTACAATTAAATTTTTAAAAGCTCTCCTCTTGCCTTTTCATAATTATTCCGATCCATTGTAATCTTCAATGATGATGCAGGGGTTGCTTCACTGGTTTAGTGTTGCTCCAATAAGGACATAATCAAGCGCTTGAACCAGCTTAATATATTTATGTTAACAATAGATGTTAAGACGTAAAATCTTCTTCTTATGAGGATATTGTCTTGTTGTTTGGTTGGAATATTCAAATTGGTATTGGCTATTTCACTTTCAAAAATAAGGAATTTTCTCATATAATATGATCAATATTTGTCTGTAATATCTCTCTTTTTAAGTACAATTCAATCTTTCTGAGCTTAGAACAGTTTCAAGGAAATAGTGCTACTTCAGTTAGTAGTTTATGATCGTATTAAACAATTCTGAATATGAACCTTGTAAAGAAAACATGAAATTATTTGTACTACCCCATGTTAAAATTTGCATCTGCGATCTAACTGCTAAAGTATGTACCTCTTAAAGCCTGTTTACATCAAATCCTCTACTGCCACAAGTAAATCAAACTTTCTTTTAAGGGTAAACTTGCCCACGTTCTAGTTATCCTTTTATTTTTCAAACAATTCTTTTTACAATGAATATTTTTCTTTTCTTATTGAATGTGTCTTAAATCAGCAGTTGAAAGGTTTTTAGAGCACTCATGTTGAATTTTTTTTATCAAAATATCTAATATCCAATTGCTGAGAATTAGAAAAGACTGTGGTCACTGTCCAATTGTTTTATTCCATGGTGTTGTATTTTAAGGTTAATCAAGTTGTATTTTTGAACGTTTTCAAATACAAATTTGTCAATAAAATATATCAAACACTTTTTAAGTGTTATAAACTTTTGTTAATGTTTCAAGGTCTGTTCACAAAGTATGTTATAAGCTAAAAGCAAGCAGTTGGACAATTATATTGAACATTTCCAGTTTCTATATGGTCCAGTCTCATAACTAGTTGAATGGATCCCAAGCTTGTCAAATGCTCTTGAAATCGAGACTTTATCTTCTCCCAGTTCAGTCTTTTCTACTTCTCTTTCTTTCTGTAATAACCTGAAGAACACGTCCTGTGTTTCCTTATTTCCCCCTAAACAATAGGCAAACTTTCCAACATCAATTATTATGGTTGATTCCTCTTAACTGTATCTTGAATTTATCTCTTCTTGAATCTCTTCATTTTCATGTTTCCTGGATATGATATGATGTTGTCTCGAAGCCCTAAATCTTCGGGATTAAAGAAAATACGTCAATCCAAGAATTTTTGTTTATAAGTATCTTGTTTCTTGAGAGAGAAAAAAAACATGTAGATTTTGTGTTCAATGGATTATTCAATCTTCTGAGCTCTTCTTTTTCTTGATCAATTGTATATTGATGAATGTTCAAACATCAACATATTTGTATATTATTCTTGGAGTACTCCAAAAAAAATTCATCTCTTCTTGAAAGTAGTTGGATTTTCTTCATGAACATGTTTTTACCTTAGTCTTGCTTGTAGAGAATTTTACAATGATTATTCTTGCACTATCTTGAAATTTATTAAAAAATTCTATGCTGCACTCTTGAATCATTGCTGTGCTGTTTTGTTGTAACGAAGCCTAATCTTGATCTCTGAAATTCTCAGCTGTTACTTTGTAACTGCTTACATTTAGATTAACGAGGACCCATCTAGATAAATAAATAAACAAAAATACATCCTACAACACATGTTATATGCATTAAAAAAAGAAAAATAAAGATGTCTTTTTCCTTACCAGTAGAAGAGTGCAGCTTTCAACTCTGCTGGTCCAAGCTTTGGTTAACCTGCGTAATCATACCATACAAAATATAGCCTAACCTAGATAATAAATGACAGAAGAAATCCAGAATAAAAGATGTGTTTTAAAACGGAAAGTATTTCAAGTTTTTAAAAAAATATTAAAAAATGCAATAAATTTATGGGCCCTTTAAAAATACATATTAAATCCTTGAGAGTCCAAAAGTCTTCGTTGATATCCCAGTCCAAGATCCATGCAATCCAAAATGTGTTTTTGCCAGAATATTATAAGTAGAGCAGTCCTTTACATTTAAATTTCTTTAAAAAAATGAAAAATTTCTTAATAAAATTCCTTTAATTCTTATTTTTTATTCAATGATATTACTTTTAGGATTGAAATGTTTTTAAAAGTATTTTTTTGTAAAAATTACAGTTAATATTGGATCAAATAGAACATTATTTTTAAATAATTCATAAAACTGGCATATTCTTTTAATTTAGTTGTTTCGGTCAATTTTAGTGAAGTAAATCACAAAAAGCTCTTGCAATAGCATTGCTCTTTAAGTTCAACAAATTATTTAAATTTATTTCATGAATATTTTTTACAATTTCATCAAATCCTCCAATCTCCAGAGTATCCAGGTTTCTTTTTTTGCCAATAGGTACTTGTTATTCCAAAAAATTGTTTATTCAAATTAATTTAAACTTTGCATTTTTAAAACATAAAAATTTTAATCTGTAATATAAATTTAATATTGAAAATGATAGAATCCGTGGAAAGCCGGGTCCAGATGTTAAGGTACCTTTGTCTCGTCCATTGTCGTAATAGCGATATGCTCTCTCGTACTCGTCTATTGGGGAAGGACCAAAAAAATTAAAAACTGTAAAGGTTAGTCTGGAAGTAAAACTTATATGGACCAACTACTGCATTTAGGTCCACTTTTGAACCAAACAAATTCTGAGCACTGTGGTTTCAAAAACTTAATCCTAATACACATGCAATAAACTTTTCTTTCTACTGTAAACATTTCAGGTTTTTTATAAAAGTAACTGGATTATTTTAGCTTAGAATTAGCAGTTTCCTCAGACAATATGTGAATAATTATTCAATATATTTGGAAAATAAAATATGTACAATAAAACATGAGTACTGTTAGTAAATCTAAGGTTACCTTCGTCAATCTCATAGAAGTTGTAACATTGTTACGGCCGTTTCAGCATATCCATGCCATCATCAGACGTTCAGCCTTAGTGGCATCGTTAATATACAAAAACACAAACTGTCTCACGCGACGTACACATACTTAAACATAAACGGGGTTTTTGACTAAACAGGCCTGTTGATTACACATATCCTGTACTTGCTCTTGTGCGGATATGTGTAATCAACAGGCCTGTTTAGTCAAAAACCCCCGTTTATGTTTATGTATGTGTACATCGCGTGTGACAGTTTGTGTTTTTGTATATTAACGACGCCACTAAGGCTGAACGTCTGATGATGGCATGGATATGCTGATGTAACAATGTTACAACTTCTATGAGCTGATTGACGAAGGTAACCTTATTTATTGATTTAGTCACAAGATCAGCTCAGGGGCTAAAAAATATGGATTTTAAGTACTTTTAGACTGACACCTAGAAAAAATTTATAGAATTAGCTTAATCGAGTTACTTTTACTTGGACCCATGTTTGAAAATTACAAACAATGAGGTTTAATAGGCCTATAAGACTTTAAAGGGGAAAAGGAATTGTTTAATGACACAGCTTTCAAAGTAAGTAAAAACAATTTATTTTTTGAAACAGAGAAATATTGTTAATGTCCAAAAAATATATTATGCGTGATAATCTATTAGAGATAAAATATGACATTGTCGATTCATAGTAGATCCGACAAACATGTATTACATAACTTTTAAAATATTTACTACAAATTTGTCAATAAGCAGAATAAATCAAGTAAGCTGAAGAATATAATTTTATTTTTCAGAACCCTTGAAGAGGAAACTAAGTTATTTCAAAACATCAGTATTAATTAAACCTCATTGTTTAACATAAAAATAAATACACGAGATACTAGCATGCTCAAAAATCACATCCCACCAATGTTTCCTACAATTTATAATGTTTTCTGGTGGATAACAAAAAAAATGGGGTTTCAGAAAATCAAGAGCATTTTAAGACGTGGACATAAAAAAAAATTTAGGAGGTAAAACAGATTATTGAAGGAACAAATTAGGATAAGATATTTGAAACAGAAAAATTATGAGTTTACTTGTAATTGGTTTTTTCATCAAATTGCTATAGAATATAGCGATGGGTGTCACATTCAAGACAAAGGAAGATTTAAAGACATATCAATAATAAAATAATAAAAAACAAAACTGTTCTGGTGGAATGGTTACAGTAGCAATAAGCATGCAAATGAATCAGAATATAACATTGCTGACTGATAAAGTAGCACTAGGCTATAAAACCATTTTTCCAAAGTAAAGGTGTTTGATTTTAATTAGTTTAGTAGCAAATAAAAGTATGGAAATTGATCAGTCAACAATGTTGTAGTTCATCAAGCAACTTAGATCGAATAGGCTCACCAGGGCGGCGAACTGGGGCTATATCTTCGGGATTTATAATACTCCTGTTAATAGTAGTGTCTCCATGATTACTGCTCGGCTTCCTCACAATTTCTATTGTGAACTTTTTCAAATCATTAATATTATAGTCCACAGGGTTTTCAGGGCCTCTGAACTTGGGTGCGCCGCCATCGTTGTCTTCATAATCTCTTTCTCTGAATCTAAAAAAGGAAATATTGAAGTAGTAGAAGTTGTCTAAACTATTATTGATAATTCTTTACTTGAATACATTAAAAATGGAATGGATGGTGCAGCAAACAAAGAGTTTTTATGTTACAAGTATCACTCAAAAAATTTTCATATTGCATAAAAATAACTATTATTTACGACTGGTTCAATCCAGTTGTTTTCACAGTGGACAAATTCACAGCTCATTGAAGGTTATAAACTTTTTATGGTTGAATAGGTATCGTGTCTTAGTTAATTGGCATAACATAGCTCACCCATAGCAAAACATTGGTATTTTTAAATTACACAACTCATATACATTATAGGTAACCTTAAGAGACAAGTCTCTGTAAAACCTGAAAATCATATTAACATGATAGTTTGACAGCAATATACTACAATATAGAATTAAAGAACATGTCAAATTAATGGTGCCTACCTTTCTGAGCTAGAAACGTTTCTAACTGGTCTTGGTTCTGGGTCTACAGCTGAATTGTAACGCAATTCTGGTGCTCCTCGTGATTCACCTCTTGAGCCAACTGGACTTTTGCTGAAACAAACATTCACGTTAGAAGCTGCTGACATCAATTAAACAGGGCAGCCAGTGTTCTATCAAATTAAAATTCAAGGACAATTCCATGTTCAATATTTCAATAGAGAATACAAGTTAGGTGTGTTTTTACTGTTAACATACCTGATTTTTGGTCTCCTGGATAACTCTCTTTCTGGAATTGGTGAAGCCTTCCTTTTTATAGGAGGAGGGCTGTATGAACGCCGTTTAGGAGGAACTGGAGATCTGCTCCTCCTAAAACAAAACATTGATCTTGATCCCAGTTTTAAACACTAGTAAATTTTAAAGACTGGCGTGAGCCCCCGTCCAAGTTCAAGTAGGTCTACAGAATTTTTTAATGCACATAAATAGTCAGGTTCAGGCTTATATATCCTAAATATCATTACACATAAAGACCTAATGGAGTACCTATTGTTTTTGTAAGTTAGCTAAACCCTTGATACCTAAGTGTGTGTAATGGATTCTCAACCTAATGTTAATTTCATTTCCGAAAATGTATTGCCAGATTTGTGATGTTTACAGCAAAGGTGTGATAAGGATGGCTGCAGGAGACAGTGATGGAGGAGACAGTGATACCTACTTTAACTTTAAAAATAGCTATCTTTCACAATTAGGAGACTGTAATGTTAGGCCTAGTCAAGTGTCTGAAAACTGATAGGAAAATCAGCACAAAATCCATATAAATAATTCACAATAATTACAGCTTGCAGTTTTACAGTTTTCCCAAAATTAACTGAGGTTGGCTCACTAACCTGTTAAAATAGCTAGCTGGTTACCAACAATTGTAGATCTTAATAGATTATGACGAATTATAACAGAAACTTATTGCAATAGGCCTACTAATAGGCTTAAATTCCTGAAAGAATGAAAAAAAAAGTGTTAACCACTTTTTAAGTTAATTAACCACAAACAATTAATAAGAAAGTTTATAACAAAATGCATTACCAATAAAATTCACAACTAGGCTCTATCTATACCAGATGTAAAAGTCTGGTAGGTATACACCTGGATACGCTGGTGTGAACAGGCCTTTTGCCTACTGTATGTGAAGATGCACTTAATTTACCTGATGGATGGCCTGTATTCCCTCCTATCTCTGCCACGACTAGACGACGCCATCTCTATACGCTGTCTCGCAGGACTGTGGGCTCGACTTCTCTCAGACGAGTGGTGAGATATGAGCGGAGGTGGCGGCGGAGACCGGCGATGAGGTGATCTACCTGGCATGTCAAACCTACAAATTATAATTTATCTCCAATTTATAACATTTTAAATAATTGTGGTAGGCCTAGAGTTAGTTAATTTGTGGGCTGGGTTGATAAAAAAATGGGAAGTTACTGAAACAACTGGAACATATTGCCTTCGATAGTGTTTACATAGACAAAGAGGTGCCTCACAGGAACACTATTCCAAGTTCTTTTAACAAACTTGTTTACACTGGACAGTCCAACAGTCTTCAATAAACCGCCATCCATCCAAAGGTCTAAAAAATTGTTTTATGCAGTATTATGCCATTTTAGCCTTAGCAACGTCATAGGCAATCGTCAGACGTCAGGAGTCAGTACCAAGCAGACATCGAGAATGGTCATTCTGATAGCGGAAGCCTTAGTTTAATTATTTCCGCTAGTCTCACAATAACGGCTGTTTTAGCACAAATTCAGTAACCCTGCACTTAAAATAAACCTACATCACATTGGTACGGCACATTCCTACGGCATCTTCAAATTCCTAAATGGGCTGGATTAGCAATTGCCTAACAATGGTGTGCCTTAACACGCTGTATTTATTTATTTACCAATGGCAATACACCAATTTACAAAGATAATCAGTTAAGTTACAAGTTAAGCTATAGAAAAATACTCAGCGGAATTCCCTTTGCTCAAAACGCTATGGACGACTAAGTTATTATACTCGCCTTTTAATAAGTTATAAAGTGCATTAACTGGTCTTGGTAGTTGTTACCAGATTTGCCGATAGAGTGCGGCAGCTATTGGCAAATGTCTCTTGTGATAAAAAAATCACAATAACAACGTTCCCCGCCCTCTGATTGTTCAAAACGGTGGGGTGCTACACTCACTGGCCTCTGCTATGAGAGACGCCAGCGCTATGGAAGGACTAACATGCAAGTATTTAGTTAACTCGCAGACTCTGCGGGAAACTTTGTTCTCTGCTGCGTTCGCTTGGTTTTACTGTTGTTACAAAAATCATTAATCATAAATCTTTATTGTCATTTGAATAGTCATAGTTATAGTCACAGTCAAATTTCTTTATTTATCTTGTATATACATACATAAATAGTGTCACAGTAAAGTAACATAATTATAATCTTATGGTAAACTACATCAAAGCTCTCTCAAAGCTATTTAAAAATTAATTGAAATAATCCATTAATCAACTTACTAGATTTAACTTACTGAAAAAAATAACAATACTTAAAAATTTGTATATGCTAAGTTAAATTACATGAAGTATAGGCCTATACATTTACATATACCTCTGAACATCTCAAATAATCAACTAGAATCGAAAAATTCTTCCTTTGAATAACAGCTTTTTTTTAACAAATAACTTTTAACCAGATACCGTACTTAAAGTTTTGGTTATTAATTTTGCTTTTTAAATTTTCAGGTAAATGATTTAAACATTTAGAGCCAAAATGAGTAGCTTTTTTATTAAAAAAACTAAGCCTATGTTGGGTTAAGTTTAAATTGTTCTTATGTCTAGTATTACGAGAATGTATAGGCCTACTACTGCGCAGATCTAATTCATTACTGTATATTTATTTCTAACACACATTATACATTCAAGGATATATTGGTCATAAACTGTCAAAATATTAAGCTCAGAAAATTTATTTTTCACTGATACTTTGTCTTCTAGATTTAATATAATTCTCAAAGCTTCCTTCTGAAATATCAAGATTGTATCTAAGTTGCCTTTACTTGTACCACCATAAACAACTACATACACCATAAGATATGTGAGAGTGGATATGTGCGAAATAAATAGTTTTTAAAGTTTCAAGACGACATAACAAAGACATTTTTCTAAGAACATATATACCTGTTGCAATTTTGTTAGCCAATTTTAGTGTATGTTGGTCCCAACTAAGACTATTGTCAACTTCAACTCCTAAAAATCTGGTAATTTTAGGCTAATTGATTCTAAGTTATTTTACTTCCCCCCACTAAAATATCTATTTCTCGAGCATTTTTATTTTGTTTTGTAGAAAAAAATCATTTGATTAGTTTTATTGCCGTTAAGAAATAAATTATTCTGTATAAAAAAGTTTTCAATACCGGTAATTTTTAATTGCTCTTGACACGCTTTTTCAAGGTCAGGGTAAGATTTAGCAGTGGTTATCAAGTTTGCATCATCAGCATAAAGTACTAACTGACTTTCTGTTCCTAAAATTGTTTTTAAAATTGAAGGCATTCCTTGGACATAACACAAAAATAATAAAGGCCCCAGAATGGAGCCTTGAGGAACTCCATGTTTAATAGTTAAATTTTCTTATCTATACCTGGTTAGTGTAGGCCTATTTTGTTTTTTTGACATTATTTCTACTTAGGCCTATTGCATTCTTTCTGAAAGATATGACCTAAACCAATTTAAAGTAGTGTTAAAAATACCTAAAGATTTTAATTTATGTAAAAGAACTAATTAATATAAAAATTACAATAGACAAGGTCACATTTGTTACATGTTTTGTTACATATGTTATATAAAATATTAAATATGCCACAGAAAATGTTAAAATAAAGTTAAATGAATCTTAAAAGGAGAAAGCATCAGTAATAATAAAAACTTTGAAATTAACAGGGGAAAAACCATAACAAGAACAAAGAATCATCAAGACTGCTTGGCCTCACATTTAAAGCGGTGTTTACACTGTCGTGGGGCCATGTCCACAACAGGCGTGGTCGCCAATGGACAGCCGTACGCAAATGCCGTGGCGGCTCGGTACCGTCCCACGGCCACTAGCAGCCGTGTAGTGTAAACAGTTTTCTGGTAAAAGCGTATCCATTAAAGGCGTGTTCATTTTTATTTACGGGTGCGTTGTGGATTGTGCCAAAAGATTAATTATTGAACGTTGTGCTACAACGAGTGTTATTTTAGCCGATGAAATAGCACGGCATTTAAGTGTTATTAAAAAAAGAACGAAACCAAACTGTAGCTTTCAATATTTATATCAAATCAAATAAACAAGGTTCACTTTGATACAGTTCAAGCATTCAAATTGTTTGAACTTCCGCTAATTTTAAAGATTGCTTTGTTTTCACCGGTTTTAATTGATTCGACTTGTGTCAATGTTATAGACTTTTTTGTTTTCGTCATGGTACTTAAAAACTAAGACGACAACCACTGACTTTAAAGTATAATAGTTAAAACTCGTAGTACACACAACGACGAGACGAAAGACAATGACTCCTCACCACGTCTACCCACGCCTGCAACAGGTGCAACCAAACACGGTTTGGTTAGTTCCAAAGGGCGTGGGGAACAGGCGTATTGGGTTGCCACGTCTGTAGCTCCCACGTCTTCACTGTTTACACGAAGCGTGGCCACTCTTGTCAAGAAAGTGAGAAAATTTCTCACCTACACGCCTGACTTTAGCCGTGGCCCCACGACAGTGTAAACACCGCTTAAGGGTTGAAAAATCTGCATTCTGCAAAAACTCCTCGACTGAATAAAAAGCACGACTTGTAAGCCAATCTGATTATTTTGACCTATACGAATGAATGCTTTCCTGATTTCTAAAATATATTGGAAGTTTATTAAATAGTTTTATTTGCAAATATTTATAACTTTTGATAAATTTTGTTAGCCTGGCTTGAGGAATATATAAATCTTTTGATTGTCTGGTGATATACCCATGGATTGAGTTGCAACAAACAAATTTATTTAGATTCTCTTTAACGGAAACTAAATTGTCAAAAATGAAAATATTAGAGTGTCATGATTCTATTTTCAGCAAAAAAATGCTTTGCAACCAACCCTATCTGGAATTTCAAACATAATTCTGAGAGCCTTCTTTTGCCATGTAAAGACCCGATTATATTATATTATAATTAATTAGGTTATAACAAAATCTGCTTTGACTTTTGGGAAAATATATTTTTAGGTGGGCCTATATGTAGCTTTATGGTTTAAGCCACACAACATATCTTTAAGCACGGTAAGGGTTAAGAAGAAATGCTAAAACTTAGGGACCAGGATAAATAAGTTAAATTAGGCTATTCAAAATAAAATTAATGCCATGATTTGCATTTCTACATCAAAATAAGTTAAGTTACAAAACTGCGCAAACATGATATTTTAGGCCTTTTACCCTAAGTTGTTGTAGTAGAAAACTATTGTTTTGTAAACATAGGTCTAGGCCTATAAAAGATTAGATACCTAGGCCTAACTCAAAAAGATAACGTCATTATTCTTTTTTGTTCTTCCTTTCTTTCTTAGGATTCCTTTCATCTACGCATTCAAAAAGTTGCCGTGGTTGCTAATTAAATCACCCTTTTAGCTTCCTGCGGCTCTTGGAGCAACTAAGAACATTTTCATAAGAGATCCAGAGGTCTTATCCTACTACAATAGACTCCTTCTTATTCGGACTCCTCGCGACCGAGGCCAGTCCGGATAACGGGATTTTCTGGCTAAACCAACGTCCCCAGAAACTCGTTAAAACAGACTGCTTACTGTGATATTTGACTTGGATTTATGAGATAATTGTATTAAGACACGTGATCACTGGTCTCAAATCCTTCCCACGAGAACTGTCGTTTCAGTACTGCCCCCTTCTTGCCGATCTAGTCCGGTTAAACCAATGTGCTGATAAAAGTTGTCTGATTACATCCTTCTCTAAAAATTAACATTTTATGGTCTAAGTGGGGTGGAGCCAACGATGTAAATAACTACTGGATTGCGCTCTCAGTGGCGTATCGGGCACTGTTTTCGGTCTCGCTCCCCCCACTCTCTTCTGGCAAGATAACGGCGGCGTTCCTCACGTGAATGCTAACTGTCACCCATTTCAACACTTGTTTGATGTAACAACAGTGTGCGGTTTTTTAAAACTGTGATTAAAGTTTATCATTATCTTTAATTGTACGCTAAGTATGTGTTTAAAATGGTTGTGTCTTGTTCCGCTTACAGCTGCACCAACAGAGTACAGAAAGGCAGTGGCATTTGGTTTCACGTGTAACAATAGATCTAATAAATTAATCTAATCTAATAGATTAT